TGTGTGCGGACCACCGTAGCTACGAGAGTCAACCTTGGAAAGAAATGAATATACATATATTTGATGATATAGGCTATGGCTATATAGGTGTCCCCTTCTGATTCATATGTGTGTCTTCCGCCCAAAACGACCGAACTCCGCCAGGATTCATCCACTCGGCAGGCGTCTTGCAGGACGGAACGACCGACCGGAATTCCGAGAACGGTTCATGGCGCGGAGAACGACCGGCCACCTGGTTTGTGGCACCAAGAGGTGTGGGATTCCTCTAGATACTTGTTTCTACTAGCGAACCTTGTTACTACTAGTAAGGCACTTGTTACTACTAGCGTGGCACTTGTTCCTAGTAGCTATTTAATTCCTCTAGATGCTGGGGACTCTGATTTGGACCGGGGCCCGAAGATCAATTGAACGACTTAGATGTTGGACTAGATTCAATGGCCGAACTGAGAACTGAGGCCAAGAACGGGGCCAGCATGGGCCACCTGTATCCTTTCATTCAGTTGGGTCTTTTCTGGTCTGGCGGATTTTGGGGCCGAACGGACCGGCTGAACCTGTCTCTCTCCGAACCATCCTACCGTGTCCATTGGTTCGTGCCGTCGTCGGGTCTCCCGTCTGCAAGCACCATTGGGAGGGTCAAAGCCCTGGACCCACAAGGGGTGGTTAATGGAGACCCCTTCAAGGGGCTATCAATAGACACCCCTGGTCCGGGTGTCCTGGTTTATATCTCTTCATATGATTTCATAGATGGCACCTCCTTGGTGGTGGTTTTGGATGGTCACCTCTTTACCCTGGGGCATTCGACGTCCCAGTCCGACTGTGGACCTTCTCCCCCTCTGCTCGCTCTAATCACCGTCCTCCGCGACCTTCTAGACCTAGATCGGTAGGATGCGATGCTGATCAACCAGACCTGGGAGAAGTTCGACGCCGTCTTCGAGGCCAAGAGCCGCGCCGCGGCCTTCCTGCACGACGCGCCCCTCGGGTTGCGAAGCGATGGTGACGGCAGGTGGGGATCTGCGTGGGGATGGGCAGATGGGAAAAAGTTGGGTGAGCTTGGAGGACACCAAGGCCGCTGCTGGTTTTGGTTGGTTTCGCAGCAATGTTTGGGTTCGCGCGACAGGGACCCCGTTGTTGCAGGGAAGCCAGCGAAAAAGAAGCACCACATCCTTTGCAGTTGTGGACAGCACACATCCTCGGTGTATGTATGGCTTCAGGTCCTTCAAGTTCGAAACATGAGGACTGAGGAAGAAAGAGCCATGGAATCGGTGAAAGGGTTTCTTGGATTTGGGATGAGACTGTTCAGGATTTCTCACACAAATTTCGGAAGAGTTGTGGAGGATTGTTGTTCAGGTGGGGGAGAGTTGTCGAATGAACAGGATTTGGAGGGTTTCAGAATAGAAGTAATTAGATTATACTGTATATACTCAATTAAGCAGCTTCACAATCTTTTAAGGATTTGGTTCGTTTTTGAAGGCAGTCCAACAACTTGAGTACTGCAAGTCTGGCCACTGAACTTTTCGAGCTGTGAGTCTGCAGTTCAGATTCGGATCTTGCCAAGGTTGATATGAACTTTCATCCAGTTTTGCCTTGGATGTCTTGGACCTATGCTTCTCTTGGGCTGTAGAAAGACTAGGACAACAAGACCAGGAACGCCCACCACCACGACCTGGGGCTCGAGACTGCTCAGCCGGGCTCAGGTTGGAGAAGAACTCGAATCCAAAGTTGAAGTTTCTCTGGCTCTTCTCTTCAACGTCAGTCTGGACACCCGAGAAGAGCAGAGAGAGAGAGAGAGGAAGAGCGTTCCAAGCTCTTGTTCTTGGTGCGGTGTGACATCTCACCTTCAAAGCTTTGCCAGCAAAGCTTTCTCTCTCCATTTTTGATGCCGTTTTCTTCCTTTTTTCCACCAAACACATGGTTTCCTTTGGGGACAAAGGACCTCGCGTCATCCGGTGACCGCGTCATCCCGTGCGACCTGAAGCGCCAGCGCTTGGGTGGGTCCACGGTTTTCAGAGTTTCTGGTAGAAACACAGCGATGGTGGGTGTCACTGGTGCCAAGGTGTCTCAGATCTTTGACCCACCAGAATTTTCAGCTTGATTGGCCATCGCTATTAGGTTGGAGGTCACTCTTAGGTTGGAGGCCATCGCTATTAGGTTGGAGGCCATCGCTATTATATAGGTTCGTTTTGCTATTAGGTTGGAGGCCATTGCTCATCGTCTGGGGACGGGACAGACGATGGGACAGGCTCGCAGGTGGCAGAGTTCGACTCTTCTTCGCTCAATTTCTCTTCACCAATGACGCCCTGGCGGTTCTGTTTGTCTCAACGAAAATCGCCCTGTTGCCCTGCCCTGTCGCCTGTCGCCCTGGCGTACCAGCTTCCACCAATTCATGGATCGCCCTGGGGTGGTGCTCCATGAAGGGTTCCTGACCCGTGGCCGTCCTTTCTGAAAACCTCTCGGAACCAGTCAAAAGCACTTTTTCCCCTCCTAAAGGAGTCCTTTCTGTAAGTGGTCCTATTCTTCCAATGCCGTCCTTTCAAGTCCAAGGCACCTTTTTCCCCCCCAAGAAGAGGACCTCCAGAAACACATGTTCGACTAGAGTCCTCCGAATGCCGCGTCCTCCGTCCGAAAGCGCCGAAGAGTGGCCGTGGCAGACCGGTTCCGATGGCGGTCCTCGTGTTTCGAAGGAATGGTCAAGGGTCCCGTCCCGTCCTACCCGCTGCCGCCGAACGTCTTTCAGCGCATGCTCGTCTCATGGTCGTCGTGTCTGAGGTCTATGGGAACATGGGTCAGCTGAACTACAGTGCCTCCAACTCCTGGTTGGATGCCCTCGCCCGGCATCGCCTCGCGTGTCCATCTCAGCGAAATGTGTCAGTCTGTTGGTGAGTCGAAGCAAAAAA